GACTTTTCAGGATATCTTGTGGGAAAATGATGTGAAGTAGCATCCTGGCTGTGCCTACACACAGTCAGAATTAGCAGGGTCATTTGGTCATGATTTCTGTTGCTCTCTTTTGTATCTTTCTACCTACTGTGCTTAAATGTAAGACTGACTGGGAGAAAAAGGGGATTTCAAGCTGGGTTTTTTTATAGTCAAGGATTGTATTTGGCATTACATCATTTGCTCTTGAAACCGAATGCTTAATTTCTTCTGCTGTTTCTTTCTATGATTGCACCATTTTCTCTGTCTAATTAAGGTGCCATTACACAATACTGCTGCATGTTACACTCCTAACTGTAATTTATCCTTTTCTGCAGGGGTTTTTTGTGTCAGTGTTTTACTGCTTTCTAAATGGAGAGGTGAGTCACTGGAACTGTGCCGAGAACTGTCAGTGTTTATGAACTTAATTAAATTGCCAATTGTGCTTCTTGACATATGATGTTCATAAAACCTCAAATGATTTCCCTGATTAGTTTAGTAATGTTTTGTCTGGCTTACACCGTAGTTACAATTTTTACTAATTTCAGGCAGGATTAGGTGGTGTTCAATTGAGAAGAAAGAAACTGCTAAAAATGTTCTATTCTGACAGTGAAATTGCATTTGATGGTCCTAAAACATGAGTAAAAAAAGTTAAAAATAATAAAATTTAATTGAACAATTTAATTTAATCCATCTTTGTCCATTTTATCAAACTAAAATCAAGGTAAACTACTAGATTCCCAGCTGTTCGAAGCCATTTGTCAGTAACTGTGAAAAATGAAGGGCTCTGTTGCAGCTCTCTTTAACAGATTCAATAAAATAATTGAATGAACAGATTATACACGGACAAAGCTCAAATACACGCTGCTCTACTATTAATGATTTATTAGGTTTTTGTATTTTGCTTTCTGTCTGGATTGGTTTTATAGGGTTCAATATTAAAGGAAAAGTCTGAAAACAATCTTTTTCACATTCTTGCCAAACGTTTGATGCAACTCACCTATCTGCTAACTATGTTAACTTACAGCCAGGAGAAAAGCTTAGCATAAAGATAAACACCTAGCCTGGCTATGCTCAAAGCCAAAAAAAGCTAATGTATTAAGCTGACTCTTGGCTGTAGCATAATATTTAATCGATAGGTTTAAGGACAAGGTGAGAAATTGTAGAATTTCTTCTTAAAAAGTATATAAACAGTACAATAATATTAGTACTTATCCTCAACATTTAAGGTCCGTTCTGCAGTAAGGAAACGGTGGCATCGCTGGCAGGACAACCACGCCCTTCGAGTGCGGGTGGCACGAGCTATGTCCATCCCCACGTCTCCAACCAGGATCAGCTTCCATAGCATCAAACAGACCACCGCTGTGTGACCAAGGGAACAAGCCCCTCTCTAATACAGACTTCATCATTTTGTCCAGTGCAAACCATGAAGCAATCCACAGAGCAGACCAATTCTGTTAAGAAGACCACAGCTTGTCCAGTGTAACTCAAGAGCCAGGCAATTTCTGTTGTCTGCTGAGAACCATCAATGCCATCTAAAAATACACTTTAACTGCACATGAGAAAAAATGGACACATTAGATTATTGGAGGAGTTATGGCCTCTAACATATTGTACATCGAGTATGGGTTCTGAGTTTTTCTGGAGACTGGCACATCTAAAAGATGTGGTGTTATCATCGAAGTGACACATCACATCACAAGTCTTATAGTCTGATCTCATAGTCTTCTAAATGATTTATGATGAATATCAAAAAGCAAAACTACTGTTTGGCACCAACAGCTTCCTTTGGAAAAAAAAAATCTATTCAGTGTGAGATGACTATTTTATACAGACAAGCTAATGGGGTCTGTAACATGTTTCCTCAGAGCAGTCTGAGTCTTCTTCTTTAAGTCTGTTTTTTATACAGTGAGGAATTTTAGGCCTTGTACTGTAATGCTGTGAAATTATTAAATTTGATTATTTAAAATAATTGTTCATGAACTAATCACCCTCTCTGTTTCAGGTGTTTGTTTCCTCCACTATTTTCTCTTCTGCTTTGTTGGGTTTTCCATTTCTCTCCTCTGAAAAGGAGGGTATGAACAAGCAGAGCAATTTAATAGGTTATGTTTTGAACTCCCTAAGGCTGATGGATGAGCAGTCTGAAATTAAAGCTGTCTTCCAAACAAGTAAAGACAAGATGATGTATTTTTATGTAGCTGGGAAAGTAATTTATGTAATGTATATGCATGGTAAGTGCCATGTATGGATTTACAGTATCACGCAGGCACAGTGGAAACCGATTCAATTCTTTTGTCTTTATCAAATCCTTCTCATAATCAGCATCACTGGAAAAGAGTCGGCCCACAACATCAAGTCTTGTGTCTGCTCAGGCTGCTCAAATGATAATAATCAGAACAACCTTCTATCTGCAATGACAAATTCCAAAATGCTTTGTTTTGTGCAACAAAAATCCAGTATTTGTTTTAGGATAATGCTTTGATGCAGCTGTTCTTCTGTGTGTCCCTACATTCAGTATTTTGGTCTGTAAGGTGGTAGAATTAGACATGACTAAAGGAATAATAGTTTGAAATTTTCACCTTCACCTTCTTGTCTAAAGCTGGAGAAGAGGTTTAGTATCGCTCCCATATCAATTTCTCAGTTATAAAGCTACAGCCAGCAGCTGGTTAGACTGACAACAAGGGGAAAGAGCTAGCCTGCCCAAAGGCCTAGCAACTTCCCGGAGACAACAACCCCCGATAGGAAGCACTACTCCCAGCCTGCACCATAAAATATACATATAACTGCAAATTGTTGTTTTTACACAGTGTTTTTTGGAAAGAACATGTTAATAATAGAGTTCTAAGGGTGCTAGTTTGTGGATTTTATTATAGTTTAACCCAGTCAGCCTAACTGTATCCCCCTTTCTACAGTCTATAGTAAGCTAAGCTAATTGACTTCATTTTGTCATCTACCTTGGCTAGAAAGTGTATAAACATGCACCCACCCATCCATTACCACGTATTTATTTAATTGTTTGTTTTTGTTTATATATTTTACATCGATATTTTACTTTTGATACTTCTAACAGGAATAAAATCCACCATATCTACAGTTCTAAATGTTTAGATAGTAGAAAGTAAAATAAAATAGAGAGAATTTCTTCAAAAATTTGTGATCCTATGTAGTTGAACATGTATAAAATATTTCATCAGTCTTTGCTGTAAAATGTACATTTCATATTTGTATTTTGTAATTTGTTTTGTTATATTATGTTACATTTTTAAACAATCTACCATTGTACTAAATGTTAATCATTCAAAGCAACTTTGATGTAAATATCTAGCATCATAACTTGTGCAGGTGTAACACCCTTTCATGGCTTTATCATGTTCTTAAATGCAAAAAGTAAAACATTACCTAGTAGTTGTGAAATATTTTCAAACAGAAATAAGAAAACCAATCATTTATTCAAGCTCACCAAAGAGACAAACCATTACAGAATTCTTTATTGTCTACATATTTGTGTTGTTGCCACTGGACTTTGGACCAAATCTTCTTGACTTTATTTTGTACACCATTTATTCTTCATCATGAAGTATATTCAGTGCTGTGTGATGTCAGATCTAGCATTTTATAACAATACATAACACACACGACCTGCTGATTTTATGGAAAAGTCTTTGTTGAACCACCTATGCTGCCTTACAAATGAAAGAAAATGCATTTTTTGTGGAAAGGATACTACTGTTTCTGTAAATGATTTATCATTGTGTTAATGATATACATTTGTACATGCACATTTCAAAGGAAAAATATTGACTTAAATTAAAAGTGTGCTCTTATATTTCCTTTTTGGTTGTTCATTGTAAAGGTTATATTTTTGTGGGAGCATGCACAGCAAATCATCAACTCTAATAATTGCTAATTATTAATATATTATGTAATCCCCTATAATTTCTACATTTCAAAAATTCCGAGAAAAAAAAACAGTGTTCTCATCATTTGACACAGTATAACCACGTCTACATGAAGGATAACATGGCAAAACTCTGTTGTACGGTTCAAGTGCAGCACCACAGCCTTCACGTTTATAATACTAACAACAGAGATGATGTCTCAGTCTATACTGATGATATCCCAGACTAGTACCATGTAAGAACTTCTATTAATTTATAAGATTAGTGAAGAGAGACCAAGATTACAATGTAAAACAACATGTAAAACATTTTCCCAATGGTTACATCAAGTTTAGTTCCATGTGTTGTCAACAAATCATTCACTAACTGGGGACATTGCTACTGTATATATTAATGTTTTAAATAAAAGTATAGATGTTTGTATTTGGACTTATTTTATGTCTTAAATATGCATAAGGAATGCTGAATACAATATCTTTCCAATTAATCAAATCAATCAAGCCAAGCAAATGTAAATGAGAGCTTCATATTTCCCCTTAGGATGAACCTTTGGGAGCTAGCTTTACTCTTTACCTGAGATTCATTAAGAAACTGATTTCATTATGATACAGCAGGTTTACTGAATTACTGAAGCTCTGCAGTTCAGTCAAAATATCCCAGCAACCATGCACTGATGCCATCCTGGAGGTACAATGGAAAAGTATCTACTTATACACAAATAATGGGCAAAAATATAAACTGACACTTAGGCTAGAAGTGGAGAGCTGACTGACACAGATAATTTGGGGTGATGAAGGACAGCAGACCAGTGAAGGAGAGGCTTGGAAAAGCTATTTGTGATGAAGGTGTTTGTTATGTTAATGTTTGTATTAAAGTACTGTGGATAGATTGGTTTCTAAATTAGTTTAGCTCCTAAGAAGTTGGGTCAATGCACACAATGCATTCAAATCCTGTTAAAACCATTTCCAAAGATACCAAATGTGTATTAATATTCGAGATAAGTGTTTAAAATACTTCACAGGACATTTAAAATAATTTTATCTGATTGAATGGTGTAGCCATACAAAGAGGTTTCTACAGTGTAAACATGCCATAGTGTGGCTTCAACCAATCGTTAAAGCAAGCTAATGCACAATATATATGAAACTGTTAGTGAAACAGGATGATTTTATCAACTTTAACACTACTTGAGGGGAAAAAAATAATGAAAACAGCAAATATCTAAAGTATCTTTAGCCTTTAGCAAAACACTAATGGCTGAAAACTGAAAACAATGATTTTTGATGGTCTTTGTATATTTGCTAGTTTAGCTGTTCAGCTTGTGAGATTGGGCCATTTTTGGACTAAGTGAATATTTTTTTGCTTGTATTGTGAATGATGTTAGTAACTTTGAATCGACCTTGCCAAACTATATGTGTACATACTTTGAAATCTCAATGGTGTAAGTCATATTAACATTACAGAAAAATCAGTTCCTGATTTTTAACAAGGGTGCACACAGAGTGAAACTGTTATTTCTTAGCATGTATTGTTGGAACTCAATCTGCTGGACACCATTTTCACCATAACAGTCCAGAAGTGCTTTCAAGCTTTTAGTCCTACAGGGTGTTTGTTATTCATGAGAATAATGATGGACTGTGACCAAGAGTTGTGCACTGTCAACTTTGGCCCTAAGCTGACAATTTTTTATAAAAGTTGAGTTATGGTTAGATGTTATGGTTAGAGTCGTTGTATGTTAACCCTAAACCATAACCCTAACAACATACACTTCTACCTTTGTGCACAGCCAACCAATCACATGCTTTAGTCAGGCTGACAGACAGATATTTTAGCCACTGAGCATGGATATATCCATGCTCATGACTCTTCCAAGCAACCTCTTCACTCCAGTCTTCGCTCCTCAGAGCAGGAACAAGAGCTTTGGGATGTCCTTCATGCCTCCAGACTGGAATATCTTCCAGGTCAGGTAAAGATGTAGGAGTGAGGAGCAATAAAATAAGGAAACTGGGACTGACCCTATGTGTCATTCTCCAGATGGCCACTATAGTGTTTGTCCCCAAAAACAAAAATTAAGCAGAGATTTTTTACCAACAGACTTATTCTGAATGTTTGATGGTGAATCCACAAAATGAAACCTTCAGGACCAGAGACATGAATCCATAGGGTACAAGAACAGTAGCCATTTTCTTTTTGTGACTCATGCACTTAAAAGGGGCTGTTAGAAAAGGGGCTCAACTGAATATTTCACAGTCCAAATCAGCCAGCTGTAAGCAACATGGCAAACCGCAGTAAGAGAGAAAGAAAGCAGTGAAAGCTAAAATCGAAATGCCAAATGAGCGTAAACATCAAAAAGTTCAACCTGCAGTGCAGCAACACAAATCCGTTATATTCAGTTCTGTGAGAAGGTTGTGTTATTTCACTTTAATTAGAAATGTGAGCAAAAAAGAAACACACACAGGTAAAGAAGAGAGAGGGGTTATTTAAAGGCCAGAGGTAAGTGAATGTGTGTTTTACATTTTTTTGAGTGTCTAGCACTTAAGTTAATTAAGCTGATTTTGAGTCTTAATTTGAGTCTTAAAGTGTTGAGTGACGTAGGTTCAGCTCAGCATGCAGTTTTGTGGGACCAGTTGGATAGATGGGTTGCGACTGGTGAATTTTAGAGGTTTGTTATGCTGTCGTTTTAAAATCTGAATCTGTACTGAACAAGTCAAAATCCACAACCAAGCTTGCAGGGGTCAAAGGGATGGCATGTTGGTTTTTTCTCACCTGAAGCCCAAATACCAAAGAATGAAAATTAGAATGAAAACCAATAGAATTAAAATTTGAGCAACAGCTCCCTCTTTCCACCACAGAGAGGAAATGCTACTATCCTTCAAATTCCCTTCAGATGATGACATCCATTATTAGATCAATGCATAGTTTTGTATAATTTTCTATTTTACGGTTTTTATGCACACTCAGTTGTTGGATTTATTCTAAATGGCAGAGTAATAGATGTAAAAAAAATTGACAAAAGAAATGTATATCAACTGTAGGTAATAGAGTAAATAAATGTAATAAACTGTCACATGTGGATAGTGGCAAAAAAAAGATCTATTTTGAACCATATTTTCTTGTATACAGTATTTGTTTCAACCTCCAGTTACACAAAAATTTCATTCTGTGATTCACTTTAGTCCTGATGAAAACCATCTAAAACAAACAAAGAAAGAAAGACAATCATTCATTTCTCCCTCTTTCTCTCTAATCATTTAACTCGTAATTTACAGTGTTTTTTATATTGCTGAATGTGCATACACTGTAACGAAACTATCTCAGAAGTAAACCATTTTCCAAGCACTGCGAACTTTTTCCTGTGAAAGACAAAACAACTAAAGATAGTTTTAAAAACACAACACCATCAAAATTTATTTATTTATTTGCCATGATCTACAACATAAATAGGGCCAATGTGCAACTTGTCCACAAGTGATCTTAGAAAACAGATGAAACATCGAAGAGTCCACAAAAGATGCATGGAATTGAGAAGAAGGCCAGATGGGATTTATAGAAAAATAGACATCTTCTGTTGATGAGTTCAGTATCTTGGTTTTCTAGATGAATTGAACTCATATTGATTTCATTCTGCAGAGTGATCTCACCCCAGAATATCAATTAGCCTGAAACAAGCTTGTACTCATTTTAAGATGACATAAGGTATTTTACAAAAGCTTCATAATTTATGCATCCAGTAGCATCTTCTTGGTTTTGCATTAGCTGCTCCACCTCATCTTCCCTCATCCTCTCACCTGTGGTCCACAAGAAACAACACAGAACCCTCAGCTTTGTATGCATCCTGTATGAGCTTTAGAAAATCAGTTTGCATTAAGACTTTTCGGCTTACCCAGTGTTGCCAGAACATGCCGGAGCTCAGCTCCCATAACTGTGCCATTCCCCTCTTTATCAAACACCCTCAGACCCTCCACAAAGTCCTCATATGTCCCACGGTCCTTGGCCTTGCAAATGTGTTGGTGTATGGGCAGAAACTGAGCAAAGTCAAGCATCTTGGATTGCATGTCTGTAGAAAATAATGCAAGAAAAAAGAAAGCTGGACAAGCTTCAGTCATGGTGAATGTTGAACTTTATTTAAAGGTTTTTCTGCATTTGACAGATGCTGTTTTTGAACCAGACACCAATTTGACTGTGAACACACAAGAGAATCAGTGTGGAACATATTTGTTGTGCATACTACTGACCTTCAGGCTTTGGCTTTCCAAGGACATACAAGATCTCTGAATTGGTTGGATTCTGACCCAAAGCCCTAATCAGGTCACCACACTGGGCATAAGTGATTTTCATCTCATTGGTTGGTGTCCTGTCAAATAGCTGGAAAGCATCCTTGAAGTCTGTAAACAAGAAGGTATTCCCTTCAAATTCTATTTAACTCATTGTTATCCAAGAGTGCAGGGAGAGGCCTTGCAAATACTCCCTGTGTAGCAAAGTAAAGCTGTTGTATCCCATTGTTTGGATGCACTGTTATTATCAGCTGTTGCTGAATATTTCTTTCACACTAATGAAGAGCACAATCACACAAACCATTCATTCCTTCTATAAATAGCTGACAGTCTATGAAACATAAATGACAAGTGTAACCACAACCTCAGTCTTACCCTCAATTTGCTCAGGGGTGAATTCCAGCTGAAAACAAAGCAAACGAGGTGGTTGGATGCTGCTTATCATTCAGGAATTAGTGCAGTTCACAAGTCAAGTAAAAGGGAACAGGCAGCAGAGTAAACTGATTTTAAATACTACATACAGTAACAAACAGTTAACTGTGACCCCCATTTCTGCCTCCACCTTTATGATGCCATTCTAACAGATCAAGTTACTGTTGGGATGATCGTGATCATCGGTGACCTTGAGTCCAGCATGGCCTTATTACTCTCCGCTTCTGTCAGATT